TGCCAATGTGAGAAAGCACTTGAAGCTGACATGTTCACTTCACGTCTATTGTCATAGGAATACTTTTTAAGATTTGAATTTGTTTTCACAGCCTCCTTGGCAATTTGTGAATAATTATCTGAATTTCCTTTTGTAGAAATTCCTGAAGATGGCGTCATATCTGCAATATTACTATATCGATAATATGAAAATTGTAAAAATTGTCCCGATTTTCTATTCCAGATACGGAACTTGTCAGACAATTTCACAACATCACCATCTTTTTGATAATTAAAATATGGTAACAATGAAAAGTGTGAATATTTTGAACCATCCTGGTCGAGTGACAATCTCAAACAGTCTTTTTGCATTTCTGCAGATTCTCTCGCAACAGTCAAATAACTTTGCGTCTGTACATGAAACAATTGAATGGTAGATCCATAATATACAGGTTGTCCAATGTGACGAGCAGCCTCCAATTCATTCTGTTGAATTTCACGCTCCATACGTTGTTTCAATTGGGCCAATTCATTACTCTCGTGGACAATATTTGTGATTTTTTTGATTTTACTTTTGGTAGCTCCATGGTGATCCATTGTTTTTGCAAGATGTGCCAATTTTGATGTAGCCGATGTTCCAGTTGTTGCTGTTGATGACGCTCCTCCAGTGTTCGTTGTTTGATTGCTCACACCACCAGTGTGATGACTCTTCTTATTGGCCATTTTAATTTCCAATTCATTCACATAGTGATGATACTTTTTAATGGCTGAATAACTCTTTGCGAAATGAACTTGAAAGATGCATTGTTGAAAATTGGGAATCATGTAAATGGGTGGCAATGGAGTGTGTGGTTGATTGGCATTTCCGTTCTTTGTTGAATTTAAAGTTGAAATATCTGTAGTTTCTGTGAGTCCACAACGAATTTGTTTTGCATTTCTATGGGAGTTTGTGAATTTTGTATATCAATTGAGTTGTAAATGAATAATTGGATCAATAGTGTTGTGAATAATAATTGGTAGTATTCCGATGAAAATATTTCACAACAATAAATATTTGGCGTTGTGTGTGAATCATTATGATAATAGGTATGTATAACGTGTTGGTGAAATTTAGAGTGACTCATATGTGTCGTCCAAACAAGAAGGTGTTCACTTACCCCTCGATATTGCATGTTAAATTAATTCCATCCACGCTCAAAAATCCAACCGTACTCTCCGACGATGCTCCACCACTCATCGATTCCGACGTGAAGAGAGAAATATAATCTCCATATCGAAGACATTCGTTGGCAAAAAACCTTTTTTGTTGTTCCGAATATTCGAGAGAGCTGGTGTAGGCTGTCGAAGAAGTGTTGGTGTCATTGTCATCATCGGAGGAGGAGGAGGACGAAAAATCATCATGAACATAAAGATGATCTGCTTTGAGAGTGAGGTGATTGGTTGGTTGTTGACGTTGTTGATGGTTATTGTTGTTGTTGTTGTTGTTGTTGCGAGGAAAGATGATCTGGATGTTGCGAGGGAAGGAGATGGTCATTTTTTAATTTTTTGTGAAAGGTGACATTCCATCATCATTTCAGCCATGATGAATCCAAGTAATAGTGCCTCTCAGACAGCATGAATGTGTAAATTGCTCACAGCTGCCATTAAAAGTTTGTCATATGGATTTCCTGCAATGGCAATTGCATACTCGGCTGCAGAGGCACCCTCAATGAAAGCTGTAATGTCATCACTGTTCATACTTGCAAGGTCCTTCTTTTTAAGCTTGGTCATTTGAGCGAGAATATGTTTCTGATATAGAATGGTCAACAATAAATAATTGTAGTGATAGATGGCATCACGATTGTTCTCCTGAAGCAATGAATCTGTGGCTGAGCTTGCTTGTTGAGCTTTTTTAAAAGTATCATTCATGAAAAATTCGGATAATTTTTTGACCTTCTCAGTAGCTTCCTTAAACGATTCGCCAATATTTTGAGGATTAATTTTCAATTCAAAATCGCTGGCTTGAATGATTTGAGGATTATTGGCATTGTTGGCCTCTTGAATGAAATCTCTGGTGAATTGGCCTTTAAGGAATGGATATGCCACAAGCAAAGAGCCAGCTCTCAGAATATTTTGTCTCTCATCGACGCTCTGCTTTTTTAAGCGTTCAATCTCAGCGTCATTCGAAGAGAAGGCATTGGCAAATTCTCGAGCCATTTCTTCTCTTTCTCTAATATTTTGTTCTGTTCCACTCTGTAATTGTGACACTTGATCAAGCATTGATATAGCTTTTGCCATGGAGGGTTCCTTCAGTTTATCACCACCCGTTGAAAGCCAGTGAAACAAGTACAATCCGAGCATCATTTGACTATACGATCGAATAGCATTCTCCTTCTTGGCATCATTCTGTTTATTTGGCACTCTGAAAATGCTATCAATTTGTTGAGAGGCTTTTGCAGATGCTATTGCAAAGTCTCTTGAAAATTTGTAAAATTCATTTTCATTGATGGGTTTGATGGTAGGAGCATTGCAAATTTGATCGGAATGAAAATTTCGTTGAACGGAAACTGATGATTTCAATCTAGATAGTAATGATGATGATGGAACCAATGATTCATTGAATTGTGTTATGGATTGGCCATTGCAAACTCTGGAAGATGTTGAATTCAAGAAGAAGCTTTTCGGAGCTTGAAGAAGTTTCTTCATTTTTAAATATTTTTAAATATTTTAAAAAAATATTATGAAAAAATGTTGAATCGATTTTCATCAGCTCTGAGAAGAGATTTGTGTGAATCCCTCTTGCCCCTCTTCCTACAAAAAGGATTAAAGGCTTTCAAAACGAATAATCACGTCATTGCCATTACTAGAAATGTAAATAATTCTTGTAACACCCATCATCGGTCCTACGCTACAATACGACTTGTGGATCATCAGGAAGAACGAAGAAGACAACAACAATCGGAACAAGAACATAGGGGCGGAGAAAATCATGATGAATCGTCATCGTCGCAGCAACAAACCAAGAAAGAACCCTTTCTCACATTGACTCAATTTATCTTTTTCGGTATTCCAGCTATTACAACATTTTGTCTGGGTGTGTGGCAAACAAGAAGATACTTGTGGAAGAAGGAGCAAATTGCTCTCCGTGAAGTAACTCTTGCTCAAGATCCAATCGATTATGATCCCTCCAACATGTTGAAAGTTTCGGAAAGTATTCAGCAACCCGAATCCAGTAGTAGCAGTGTCGTTCCATCCATTCATGAGAAATCAGAGGAAGATTACGATCCAATTAATCCAGCCAAAGATGAATATTCACATAGAATTATTACTTTAGAGGGTTATTATGATTATGATAAAGAAATTGTTGTTGGCCTCAGAAAGAGTCCACTCACGAAGCGGCTCGATCTGCCCACGAGTGTTGGAGAGATGGGCTTTTTTATATTGACACCCTTTGTAACAAAACAAGGGTAAGTGTTTTAATCTAAAATTCAATTTAAACCTCTTGACATTTTGCAATGGTTCATTACATTCATTTTGTGCGTAATTTCTTTCATGTAACTCCATGCTCAATAACTTTTTTGGAACTACCACATATACAACTACGATCATATGATTGCTTCAACTCACAATAGAGAAATTGTAATGGTCAATAGAGGATGGGTACCTCAAAGTATTTACAAAAATCCCACTAGTGCTTCCAAACAAGATTTTGAAAAAAAGACCACCGATAAAAATCATATTGAAAAAGTCACAGCCATCATTCGACCAGGAGAATATTTAGGCGCTGGTGTTTCTGATAGTTATGACGGAAAGTCAAACAAATTTATTGCTATGGATTTGTTTTCGATAGCCAAATATTACAAGCTGCCTTATATTCCACTTCTTGTGGATGCTTTTTATCACATTCCAAACTTTGTCTATTCGGAAAAACAAACCAGCGAAAATTCTCTAAAAGCTTCTAAGGCACAAGACACTAAATATCCCATGGTGGCCATTCCTGACGATTATATGAAGTTTTACATTACTCCTGCCACTCATGTGGCTTACATGGTCACATGGTATACACTGTGTCTATGGATAATTGGATCTTTGGTATATTTAAAGAGAAAGAGGAGATTGTCGAGCTTTTAATTGAATCGGTTTAACAATTCATTTACGAAAAGTTATTCGTTGCATTGACAATTGAGAAGAATACAGGACGAATTATTCTTATTGGCAATAATAGTATGCCACAACTCACAACACACTTTGATTGACAATTTGGATAATTAACGAATGAAATTCAATATTTATTTAATGGGAGACGTGAATTTTAAGTTATCACAACGAGCCGTTTTTAAATAAATGAAAATTTAATGGATAGTAAGGCCTCGACTTACGTCTGTTTGAAACTTGAATCCAACCAAGAATTTGATTGGAATCATCTTTAAAAAAAATAGCATCATTTACCACAAGGTGGATGGTTTGCTGTCATCCTTAGATACAGCAACTGTCTGCGCAATCAGTGGTTGGAGGCTTTCAGAAGAGGGCATTACTTTCCCGTTCTTACGAAACCTTAATGTCTGTGACATGTTGCTTTTAAGTGCTGTCACATGGTGTCTTGTTTTGGTTCAAAAGTGTCATTATATGGTGATCATTTAGCGAACAGCAAACACTTGCAGAACATTGGTAGTTTTGGCGGATTGTGGATTCCTGAAGGGGAAAGACCAATGTTATTACCTTAATTGTCGTTTAGTATTCTAGTAGTAGCATATGAGTTTATTCATGGCACTACTACTAGTACATAACACCAGAATGCTCCTGGTGAGAGATAGGAATTGGTAGATTGATGCTCAGATGTTTAATGTATCCTACACGCGTGTGGTAGAATATAAACTCGACAATCGATTTTAATCGTTGGATTACTTAAATGGAAAACATGAATAAATTTTTTAAATTCATTCTTTCAAAACCGGCCTATTTTGATATCATCATGATTTAACTTGATGAACTACTCTTTCCATACAGAGAGCTCCGTCACAGAGCTATCGTTTTGAAAAGTTTTGCTTTTTGGCTCTATAAAACTCGAGCACTGTGTCCGAATTTTTCTTGACCATATTCTGAAGAGTTTGTGTGGTGAGCAGAGCACTTGTGCCACTCATGGCCCGAACAGTATCCACATTGGAGAGATCACCATACGACTCGTCCATCACACCAACACCACGCAAAATATAATTGACACTGCCGTCCGAAGAAGGAATTTTACGCACACGTTTTAAACCGTACTTGTGAGCAATCGAGTTGACAAGATCATCATTCTCCATTCGTGTTTTTAAAACAAAATGATTCGAGAGTGATGATGAATCGGAGGAAGAAGGGGACGATTGAATTCTTTCCACACTATTCCATTGATGTCGGCCGCCCTGTTGTGATGATGCTGCTGCCTGTTCATTGATTTCGGAATATTTTGCAAACGCTTGAGCAAATTCAGAAGCGAGTTCCTGTTGAAGTGTTTGGCCACCATCTAAAACATGACCACGAGTGGCCAAACACTTCAACACAACTGTTGTCGACAACACAATAATCAGTAGTAGAGCAACGCCGGCGAACGTTCGGAACATTTTTTTTTGATGTTGGACAACGTACGTCGTTTTCAACACGGGTGTGCGTTGAATTATTGGTCAACATTTAAGAGACATGAGATGTGACTCTCTGACATTATCAAAAAACAATTTCATCACATATGCATACATTACAATTTGCTTAAACAACAGTCATTCAACAGCCAAAAGAGAAGTCTTCCAAGACCACACAGAAGAAAACCAACATCATCAACAGCATCAACAACAACAAGAAAATTCATCCGAAGACGGGTATGGTGGATACTGGCTTGATCAGAACCACCAAACAAAGCTCAAGCTCCAGAAAAACCTACCATCAACAATGTAGCATGGAGGCAGAAATTAGAAGGTATCGAAACATCTGTACTTGACAGTTATTATAACACAAGAAGAGTCACAGAATTCTTCCATGCTGTTACCCAAGTCCTCCATGTAAGATTGGAACCAGATTACATCAATGGCTGTTTGGGCATTGAATGTACGCTGGTCAAGTTCCTCCTCACCTTCTCGACAAATTCTTTTCTCCTCAGAAAAATGCTTGAAATGGTCTCTCCATAATGAATCATTGGATTGATTGGTAGAGCCATTCTTAATGTTGTAAATTAAATTAAATTTACAAACAACGTATGCTCTAACAGGTCACTTGTTGTCCTCCAATGGGTTGAATCCAATTTTTAGCATTCACATGAAAAACGAATCAAGATGCAATGCACATTAATGTCTGGTTCAATCCTGATTATCTCTACCAACGATTTTTAATACTTAAGCAAAGTGGAAAAGATTGTCCTCACAAAATATTAATTCATTACAAAATTTCGTAAAAAAAATGTCTTTTTTGAGAGAACGAGAGTCAAAGCACACCGCAAAGGATGACCACACGCCGCTTCATCATCCTCATCACGACCAGCAGCATGCTGATGATGAGAATCTTACAGCCATCCAACATGAAATTTTCAAGCAAGTTCAATGTATGGAGGAGGAGTATGGCATTACCATTTTGATGGTTTCCGATGTGGGAAGTAGGTGTGTAGTAATAGTCTTGTTGAATGATTTTATTTCATTCATTCAACACTCATCATCACTTTTTGAAACATAGAGCCTACAATTGGGAACAGCCACTAGAGAGTGATTTTGATTTGAATTTTATTTATACCAAAGATTGGAAGTATTACATTACCATTCAGAACAAACAACAAACGATAAAGAAAGAGACTCACATTGAATTGGATCGGAATGTTTTATTGAAACGATCAACGAGTAGACATTCGTTTTATTGTTGCATGAGTGATAATAATAATTATGAGCAGGATGAGAGCCACCATTCATCAACATTGAACAGAAAATGTTCAAAAAAGCTCAAAATTGAATGTAATTTTCTTGGATATGATGTAAAATATGCTGCGGATTTGTTATTCAAATCAAATAGAGCTATTGTATTTGCATTGCTATCGCCGTGTGTGTATTACATGCATCCACGGGCTGTAGACATGTTTTCAAAGTGGATTTCCATGTGTCATGGTCATGTGCAGAGAAGACATCATCTTCACGAGATGATTCATATTGCTCGATATAACATTAATCGATATGTATTGGGAAGAAGAAGCGTTCGTGTGAAGGCCTATCTCTATATTTTACATCACTTATTTTATGCATTGTACATGTATAAGAGAAGAAACGATTTGCAGATTTTCAATAATCATTTACCTCCGTTGCAGTTCACAGAGCTATTGGATGATTTGAAAGAGGACTACTTGTCACCTACATTGGTTAAAATTATTGAATTTTTGATGAAATTAAAGGTGAATGGGGAGCAATTTTCGAATTTGGCCATGTTAGCACAACCCAAAGTAGATGTGATGTCACAAAAGAACGAGGAGATGACGGATGGAATGGGTACATCATCCATTTCGCTTTCCTCATCGAATATGAATGAGAACAAGACAACAAGTGGACAAGTGATGGAAAGTGGTGGAAGCGATGAGGGTGATAGTGGCGACCACAACAAGAGAAGCATGAAGGACAAAATTGAGGAAGAACAGACCCAACTTGAATCCAATCCACAACCCAAGAAGCGAACGAAGAAACAGAAAAAGAAGGATGCTAAGGCTTTGGCAGATGAAAAACTCAGCCTTATGGAGGATGATAGCGTCAAAAATGATGTTTATATTGGTCACTCTTTGCATGTTGAGCTTTTCGTTGTTTTTTGGTATCGAAAGCTAGCCGACTGGATTTGGAATTTGCCAAAAGATGTCATGAAAGGAGATGAGGTGGATTCATTGCTATTGGAGGCTGTTCAGTTGTATGAGGAGAAAGGTGATCCTTCCAAATACTGAAACATATCTATAAACATGGTTTAATATGTCATATCATTAATAAAACAACCTTAGATGATTTGAAAACGAGCCACAAGAAAGGATCAGAATTGGGTCATTTACCTCACATGAATGCCTTTTTAATTTTATTTTTCTGTTCGTTGGCTTGCTTTTTCTTTCGCTTCTCGTTAAGCTTTTCTTCGATTTCTTGTCTTCTTCGTTTTTCTTCCTCTGTTTCGACATATTCAGAGCACTGGCTTGTAGGAATTGAATGAGTAGTGATATCTAGAGTGTTTTGTAGAATTGGAGCAGAATCAGAAAGGTTCACCACTGAGGGTTGTGACAATTGTTGCTGCTGTGGTTGGGTTTGGTGAGACTCGTTAGCTTGCAATTGATTGCCTGTGTATACCTCTTCTGGAAGGAGGTCACCACCAACATCAAAATTTTGAGAGAGACCTGTTTTTGAAGATGTAGACGTTGCTGAAAGCGGTTCTGCACTTGTCTTCTTTTTCTTGCTGACTATTGCATTTGTATTTGAGCGAGTACAATTATCTGAACTTGAGGATTTCATGAATTGTGAATAGAGTTGTCGCAGAAGTATATTTGTTGTCGTTGCATGATGATTTGTAGAGTCTTCATCATTTAACTTCTGTTGTTGTTGTTGAGAAGATAATGTCTGTTGTGACGTTGTCGTGAGACCAAACGAAATGTCACAAAGCTCATTAAAATTACTAGTCTTAGAGGGCTTTAAAATCCTATCTAAAACATCCAAAATATCTGAAGAAGAGTGTTGTGCATTTGATCCCGAGCTGCTACTGTACATTTGTCGATAACTAATCAATTCTTGCTCCTTTTTCAAGCATAAAGATTTCAATTGATCAATTTGAGAACTCTGAATATGGACAATCCCTAATAAGGGTCGTATGATTTGATTACAAATGAATAGACTCTCTCCATTTTCATAGAAATATTTGGCAGAGTTTTGGTTGTCCTGTTGCACTTCGTCATCCTCTTCATTGTTTTTACGTTTACGTTTCTTCTTGTCACTAGTTTGTGAATTTTCATCCTCAAAGTCTTGAATTAATATATAGGAATGGTCAATACTCTCTCCATAATTCTCACTGGTCATCACCGTCGACGGCTCAATTCTCTCACAATGAATTTCCCAATAAAACGGAAGAGGAATATTCACCGCTGTCGGCAACAAGGCTTTAATTTTCAGCACCACACAATTCCATTGTTTCCGAATGGCACTCGCATGAACACTCTGAATAGAATCCATCCAAACATATTGTTCACTCTCTGAATTTAGGCCTAAACGAGCAGCTCCCAACAATTCAATTTTAGGATGATTATTCTCTTGCACTGATCGGGATGAGTACTCGAGAAGAAATTGTTCAATTTGTTGCACGATGGAAGAAGCACTCATATTCAAGCCTTTGCAGTAGTTTGAAATATCCTTTTCAATCTCGGCTTTTTCATAACGTTTTTTCCAAACACTTTTCATATTCGTTAGAAAGAGAACAAAGCCATTGCAGTGTTGAGAGTTGTTGTCATAATTGAGTTGGTTGGTCTGATTGAAATTTGTGGTTGTTGTGGTTGTGGTTGTTTGAAATGTGCTGCCGCTGCCTGTACGAGTGGGATCATCGGAGAGAGTTTTAAATTTAATAAAGAAGGAATCTTGAGAGGGATCTTTGACTGGAAGTCTCGTCCAATTCACTTCCGAGACGAGATGTTCATCAGGATCCTGATACTTTGTTTTGTTTGAATCAAAGAAATTTTGGTGATGAGAGGATGATGATGACGATGAACTGAGAGCAGAGCCAAGTGACATTTTTTTGGAATCGTCAAAAGGTTTAAATTCATTTTTCGAAATTTTCAACAAATTTATCTAGCAATGATAATAATACTTTAAAACATGGAAGATCATTAGGTTTGAATTAAAGAGGGTGGTGTCAACTCTATTTTTGAGACAAAAATTGCTTGAATTGCTCGAAGGAAATTTGTGGGTTTTTGTCAAGTTTCAAATCCTGAAGAATGGTGTCAATCTTTTCTTCACTAATTGTTTCTCCCATAGCCTCAAGAATCTATTGGAGTGGGTGGTTTGTTATTATTTTTTTGAAAAATTAAAATGATTAAGGAAAAACATTATTATCTCAGTAATAAAATAATCAGCGAAAGTCAATCACTCACCTCTGCCATTTCTTTCCTGTCAATGAAACCACTCCTGTCCTTATCGAATGTATCGAAAAATAGTTTTAACTCCTCATCTGTGGTCGGTTGAGAACATTGTGAGGTCCAAAGCTTGACAAATTCATCAAATTCTTTTTGAATAATGTCATTGGATAAATTGGGAAAATATCCCCAGCGAAATTGTGTTTGAACAATCGCGAGTAATGGAATTACCTACCAATCTTTCCATCATGGTTTTCATCAACCAATTTAAACATATGCAATAACTCTTCATCGGAAGGCCTCGATGACAGCTGTTCCATCACATTGCCAAGCTCTTCCATACTATATCAGGATCCAACAACACATCCAATCGGTTTCCAAGGGATCCAACCCAACGACCGAACCACGCATTGAAACCAACGTTCATCATGATAATTAGTTCAAAAAACGCAACCATGATGTTTTCTTCTCAAACACCAAAGAGATCGGATGATGAAAAACCTACCTTATGGATCCATTTCCATCCTCATCAAACAATGAAAAAACTTCCTTCAATTCACTAATAACGTCCTTAGAGAGATGATCAAGAGACATGACTGTGTGGCGAAATGATTTTGTCGACAAAATATTTTTTTTTAAAGTGAAACAAAAACCGTAAACGAACGCACATCCAAAAAAGGTATCGCAACTACCCAAAATACTATAATGAACAACAAAAAAACTAATCTCAATGGACGTCAAACTCAAACCTCAAAGGATGTCATTGTAAAATTATATTCAATTACATTTGCTTGAATAATTATATGGATCTCATTGTAAAATTATAATTATATATTATTATTATATTAAAATCATTATTACTACATTTGTTTGAACAATTACAAACTATTATACACAAATCTCTCAATAGCAATCACACAATCACACACGTACAACATTTCGCCTTTTGTGTGTGTCTTTTAAATTCTTGAGCTTGATCATCCAATCGTTCAGTGTCACCCACGAGATCATTGATCAAGGTTTGAGCTTTTAAAATTTTAGAAATATTTTCAGATTGAACTTCATTCACAGTGTCAATTTCCATTTGTAGTCGTTGAATTTTGTCATTCATGGGATTATTGTAGTACGCGAGAAGATCTTTTAATTTGGAGGAGGCAACGAAAACTCCATTCTTCATTGATTCCATGTCGACTTCATCCAAAAAGCCCCAACACACTCGTTGTTTCATGTCAGGAGAGGCAAAACAAATGAAAAAATTCTTTCCACTGCATTTGACAAAGACATGGGCACTGATAAAACAATTGTTTTCATATATAAACATTGAAAAATAATGTGAGATTACACACAAGTTCACATCATGAATGATCAAAATTTGTGAAAATTAAAATGTCATGCAAATGTCAAAGCGATTCCATTCGGTGACAATGTTTTAATAAATAAATAAATAAATATTATTAATTCGAAATGATGCAATGTCAAGTTCATTGTTATTCCTTTGAATTCGATCTCTGTACAAATCAAAACACGTACTCATTACTCGTCAAAAATCTCTTAAAATTTGTTTTTGCTAATTTCGGAACAAGTTGTTGAAGAACAACATCTCGGACCTTCTTCTTTCGAGGATATTCACCAAGACTTTGCTCGGATCCCACATCCACAATGATCGCGTAGTGAATAGGCATTTTTTTTGAACCTGGTTTTGAACGTTGACAAGTGATGGGCAAAGAAAAGAGACAAAGGAACAACGAAGTACTGAATTTCAAAGAAATCATGATTATTGTATACAAGAAACAGTTTATTAAAGATTCGATTCAGGCAGGGATATGA